AAAAAGATCTATAGCAATAGCATTACCAGGTTGTATAAGTATGTTATATATATAGGGTTTATATTATTTTTAATTATTATATATGTTTCTTCTTTAGATTCTGTAGAGTTAAATCAAAAATATGAGTATTGAGATGTGTTTCAGAATTTAGTTTTTATATTTTTAGTGATTTTTGTTTTAGTAAGACTAATTATATATAAATTATAAGTTAGGCAATAATTTTCTCATAATAGTCTTTTTTCTTATATATTATATCTCTGCATATTATATATTAAAATATTAAGTTAAAGTAGATCATTATTGAAAAAGAAGTTAGAATTAGATTCAATATTAAGATTAGATATGTAAAGTGAAAAGAAGAATAATGAGTTATCTAGAAATGCTAGTATAGTAAAGACTGATGCTGTTGTTTTAAATTTTAATTAAATATTTAAATAATACCAAATAGCTTAAACTAGTAGAATAAAGTTATTAGATAAAAGTTTGGGTTTTGATAGAAGGTAGACATAAGCTTTGCTATAATCATTTTAATAAAGATAGTTAATGTGTAGCTATATAAGTTATCAGATGAATAATAAAAGCTGTAAATGTGTCATAAAAAAGTATTAATAGTTTGAGAATAAGAAAGTAGTAGTATATAGTTGTAAAATAGAAATTTGTTGTAACAAGTATTAAATTAGATGCTGTTATAGTATTGTTTAGCTATGATGGTTTTATTATAGTTTTCTAAAATAGGTTTTACTAATTGAGAATAAGTATTGTCTAATTTATTATCTTTTATAATTAAATTAGTATTTAATATATTATTATTTATTAGAAAAAATTTAAAAGAAATAGGTATAGATAGATAGTAAATATAACTTAATAGTTGTAGAAAGAAATATTTAAGTAAAGGTTAAGACATATATAGTAAGTGTATATAATATTCATTATAGTTAAGTTTGATTGATATTTTAAGTGCATAGTTGAAATTATTGTATTGTGTAAAATTATATTGGTAGATGTGTTTTAAAAGAAGTTGAATATTTGTAAATATGAAAATAGGAGTAAATTCAAACATGCTAACTATTAATTATAGTATAAGTCTAGATTATATGTTTTGTGAATTAGTTTTTACAATGCTTTTTTAATATGAGATAATAAAATAGAATTCAAGAAAGTTAAAAATTCTTCTGTAATTTCACTTACTATATGCTCAACTTTTATAGCTATAAAGAGTAGCATAGCTTGCTCTGTACATTGAGTCTGGTTATTATTAACTTGGTTCTCTGTATAAAAAAACATTTTGTTATTTATACACTTGTATAAATCTTATAACAAAAAAGCTTGTTTTTTATTTTTTCTATAATGTTTAGTTCTAATAAGGCTATATTTAATATTAGCCTTATTTTTACCTGATAGTACAAAAAAATAATATATAATCCTTAAGACAAAGTAGCTATTATTATTATTAGCAAGAAGCATTTATTAAATAGTAGTAAGCCTATATATAAATATCAAATTAAAATGAATTACAGTCAAACCTCTTTATAATTACACTCTTGATTTTAAAAATTTGATGCTTATAGAGAGTTTGTGCTTATATGAAGGTTAAATTTTATAAGTACTATATAAGTTGGTTTTAAAAATTTATGTAATTATAAGCAAATATATCTAAATAAAAGATGATTATAAAGAGATCTGACTGTATAGTTTTTTTTAATAAGATTTACTATATACAAATAATTTTAGAAACTGTTAAACAAAATCTAATTTATTGAATAAAATACAATCAAAGTTTTGGCTATGCAAAAAAGCAATTGAATTAGCTCTTATAAAATTAAATAAAAAAAAATAAAAAAAAGATTTATTGTGATCTAAATAAGTTTAACAAGAAGAATTGTTAGATATAAGCAACTCTTATTTAACTTATACAAAAGATATATTTAAAAAGCATATGCAAAACATATTTAAAGTTTTTAAATATTATAGTAAAAGCAAAATTTGCATTATTACTAACAATTTACAAAATTTAAATTATAAGTAAGTAATTGTTTATTAAAATAATAACTTTTTATTAATTGTTTATATAATAGAAATAAATTATAAGAGGATGGTGATCCTAGTATAGTGGTTAGGTTGTCATTTTCCAAGCAGTAGGTTTAAATGTTCAATTTTTATTAGCAACAGATTTTAAAAAAATAGTTTTATTTTAGCAAACTTATCTGTGATCTAAGGTTTGTAGATCCTGTAAATCTGGTTATACCAAAACTAACTTTAAAAATGTGCAATGTCATACAAATAAATCTGAAAAGTATATATTTGAATTAGAAGTCTGCTTGAATTAGAAGTTTGCTTAGAAATCTCAAGCAGAGAGGTAGTACAACTTTTAATAGTGCTATCTGTAAAGATTTTGATTTAAAGAAGAAAACCTAGGACAGATGACCTGTATAGACAAGAACTTCTAGATAGGGGGTCTACCAATCTGGCTATTAGTTGATTTAGACATAAAGTCACATTATGCAAAGCTAACTGGATTGGTAGTATAAAAGAACTTGCAAGGGTAGATAAGATATTAGTGAAGTTGTAAAAGAAGAATACTGGGGTTGTATGAACTTTGCAAGAATTGTAAACTAAATTTAGCTGTAAATTAGGATACAGAAGGCTCTAGTAATGATGTCTTAAAGATAATTTGCATAAAATAAGGCAGAGGTTCTAAAGATATAGGTATGCATTTAGAACTTCTTGACTGACATCATGTAATAGAAATGTTCTAGTGATACAGTAAGAATTGCAGTACAGAGAGTTTAAATAGGCAACACCTGTAGTTGGATTACAGATATAGCAGCTAATGTAAAACCTATATATAGGTAGACTATTTAAATTAGATACCAAAAGTGTATATGTAACTAGATGTACTCTCTAATGTAAGATAGCTTTTCTGAGGTAATTGGACTGCAAGCTACCATGTTCTACTATATTAAATAAAAAAGTTCTAGTCTTTAAAAGACTAGTTTACTATAAAAAAAAAAAGTAAATAAATTATATTATAAAAATAATAATAAAAAGCTATTTAAGACAAAAAAAAAAAAATCAAAGAAATTCAACTCTTTCTACTAATCTCTAATTTCAAAAGTAGAGTAGAAACAAAACACAAAATACAACCAAAACAGAATAGAAAACAGTTCTTGGACCCTTAAGAAAAAGAAGTTTATATTCAAAAATACATAAACAATAGTAGAAGTACAACAACAAAAAAGATATCTTTAATAGACTAAACTTGTTTTAAGAAAACTTTTTCTTTTTTTTTAATAGAAAATTTGAAAGTTTAGAAAATTATGATTAACTCTGAAAAACAAAAAGAGAACATGTGACTGACCAAACAATAACAACAAACAACAACATCATGTTCCTAATTAGGAAATAGATAGATAGCTAGTAATTAATAGTAATATAACACAGGTTATATGTAAACAACTCAAAGAAGAAAGTATACAAGATAGAAATATAACAAACAAACCAAATAGATCAGGCTATCAATACAGACATTATGTACTACATTAAGGGGGCAGGTGATAAAAATTGAAAATACTTAAATTCTAAATTGTTAGACCAAATTCTAACAATGCCTGTGAAAAAACCAAGCAATGTAAAGCATATAGCAAAGGACTTAGCAATAAACAACCCAAATCATATTACATTAAGTGATGTACTACTCTACAGACAAATTCTTAAGGCCTTGAGTCTAGCAGAATTAAGCTAGCTCAAAGAAGATATAATAGAAGAATAAGTACAAAGACTTAGGCTGATGAATCAAAACCCAAAATTAGTTGAATATATTACAAGTATGAGCAAAGAAGAGATACTTAAAGAAGAAAGAAAAATAGAAGGAATAGAGAAACTAAATAGCATAGAAAAGATGCAAACTTCAATAACAAAAAAAAGACATCAAGATGTAGCAAGAGAAGAAATACTACAAGAAAAACCAATTCAAGTAATAAATAAAATCATCGACCAAATGAAGAAGCTTAACATTAGTATATGACAAGATACGTAACAAAAAAGCTCCTTAACAAGCACAAACCAAACTTCTACAGTCAAATCAAATAAAGCAGAAGAAACAAGAGGAAAAAAAATAAAGAAAGACATAGAAGCTCCAAGAGATAGCATCATCCAAGATATTAGAAAAAATATAGAAAACATTGGCAAAAAAATAACAGAATTAAAAGAAAAAAACATGTTCTATGAAGATTCAATCTTTACAGATACAATTGAACACAGCTAATGGTCATCAGAAAATAGAGTATGTAATAAGGACATGTTCTTCAATAGTGATATTATCCAAACCCGATAGTTTGAAACTTAGTAGTATCCTAAATGATTTTACTAGATTCTACAAATATGTTGTAACTCAAACTATATTAACCATGTTCCATATTAATATAGTATCCCAAATTAAAATATTGTTATAGCATCTCAACAATCTTCAGATGCTTTAATATTGCAGAAGAAAAAAAATGTCTTATAATTTCTAAATTAAATACATATTACTTAAAGTTTTTATTTATAATAATATATCGACATATGCTAAATTCGTTAAATAAAAAATGTTTTGCTAAAATTTTATATCTTATTTTTTATATGTATATAGCAATACTTTATTTTTTACAATTATATAATAATTTTCTTATTACTTTTATATCACTTCTACGTAATCAGTTATTACATTTCATAGATTTTATATTCTTTTTTACTTTGTTAAAAACTTGCTTTACAGGAAGAAACTTTCTAATTAATAAAATATTCCTTACCATAAATGATATTCAGACTTAAAGGCTTGTTATCTGATTATTAAAAAATATAATATGTGTTAAAAATCTAATTCATCTTTACTGCACATGAAGTAAAAAATCAAAGCAATTACCTAATATATATTGGTTTGATAAGAACTTCTATTTACTATTATCATAGTGATTTAATATTTCTTGTTAAAATAATTGTTACATATGAATTATAACAAATTAATATATATGATTTAATTGAAATTCATCTTCTACTATAGCAGCTGGATCAAAATCCATATTACTACTTCTCTGTATAACTGTTAAAGTTTCTTCAGCATTATCTTGTCTGCCAAAAGTTGTATCAGATAAATCAACAACTGATCCAATCTCAAGTTTTTCATTATTTAATTGATTATACACTATAGAATTTTCTTCATTTTCTTTAATAATTAATTTATGACTTTCATTTATTATATAAGCTGTTAGATTTAGTGCACTATCATGTAAATCATCTTTTGATAAATCCTTTCCATAGACTAGAAGTTCTTTTTTGAGATTAGAAATATAAAATGAATGAATTCAAACCATACTTTCAATTCTTTCTACTGATAATCATGATCGATACATGCCAAATAACTATTTTAAAATTGAAAATTTGTGTTCACAATTTGCTTGCAAGGGTATAATTGTAAAAATAGCTTGTGCAAGGTCTTGAAGATAGCTATAATTATCTTCAATAATGCCCTATCACAAATTTGGTAATTTTGACATATCACAATCAAAATCGAATAGATAATTTCTATTTTTGTAATAAATCATTTGTATTACTATTTGTCGACAAGAAGCTTCATTATTATAAATACTTTTGTAAAATTTCACAGCAATCTCACAAATTTTATAAAATGTTCTATTGCGTAATCCACAATCTAAAAATAGATATCAATATACATATGTATAAGTAAATAAATAAATAAATAAATAAATATATATATATATATATATATTGTAATATGGTTGCTTAACCTAACTAGATTCTAAATATTTGTTTAATAAATATGTCGTCGCCAGTTAAA